GGGTGTTAATTATTAATAGTTTATTTACCACTTTTATATAATTTATTTTCTCATAAAATAATTTAATTGAGATTCTATTTTTAATTCACAGTTTGTTGAATGATAGAAGGGGGACTGATGGTATGAAGTATCATAATCTGAGTTAAAACACTGAGAAGAAAATTGATATTCAATTAAATTGATAGTAAACCATTAGCAGAGAGTATATAAAGAGCTCAATCTCCCTATAATGATGATTCAATATCTCCAATATCTTAATTGCCATAATTAGACAACAATGTTGATAACATCTCATCACTCAATAATATCTTTTCATAACCCCAGAAAAATATTTCAAAAACTTCTTTAAGGTTGGTAGAACTTTCATTAGTTGCAGATTCCATAGAGAACCTAACTTTTGTCTCAATTGTAAAGCTTTTCTTTAAAATAAAAATTACTGTGTTGAATTATAGGATTAAGATGTTGAGGGAGAAAAAAGGGGAAGAGAATAGAGACTGAATATGGTTAAAATTAATCATAACTTCATATGATATGACCCACTATGGATGTTTCAATGCGATTGATGTTATATAAAAGGAAAAATATGTAGTTGTATTTACACTAATGGAATACTTGTAATCGTAATTAAATTAAGGTAATGATACTTTGATAACATTTTTTTGACAACATTTTAACACTGTCTACGTGTTATTCTGTGATTGGTCTATATTAGTATTTATGATTATTATTATTGATTGTGGAATAATTTTGGACCAATCACAGAATGACACGTAGACAATGTTAAAATGTTGTAAAAAAAATATTGTCAAAATATCATTATATTAAATTAAATATGTTGGTCTCACAAAACCAACCTCTGCTGCGGCATTTGTTCAAGGCTTGGACATAATAAGAACTCCAATGGGTGGAATATATACACAACATGAGTAAGCTGGAAATTCCTCTGTTTTTTTGGCTCTTTTAACTTATTTAATATGTTTCTTTAGGTAGTAAAATGCATAAGTATTAACTATACATGAAAATAGGTTTCTTTACTCTCTTTTTTATAATATGTTTTCGATTGTTTAATTTTTAATAAAAATTTAAATTAATCTCTTTTCAAAAATTTAAACTGATTTAATTCTTTTAACCAAATTTAATTCTTTTAAATTAAGATCTGAAAGACTTTTAAATTATTTCTCCACCTTTCACAACAAATTTCTTTGTTCCAGTTTTTTGTAGAAATTATAAATTCATTGACACTTTTAAGAATTTTCAATTATTGAGTTGATATGTTTTTTGAAAATCATTATTATAAGTTAATCTTTTGTGAATTTTAGTTGTAAAGCATGACGGTTTTTGTAAAGAGGTTTTCTGTATTTAATGAGGCACTGCGAAAAAGACTTAACAAACTTTTGTTATGTTGATTGATACTATGATATTTTTTTCTTTGGTCCTTAATTCTTAATTGAACCACAATGGGGTATTCTTGTTTGTATTTAAAGTTACAACATTTGTAGAAATTAGTCATTACATAATTTAAGAAATTAAGATGATTAATTTCTAATTATTAGATATTTTTATTATAATTGATTTTGCATATCATGATATAAATACATATTTTGTGGTATGTATTATCACACAATACATTCATAGCATATACAAATCTATATAGTATTAGTAGTTGAGGGTTTCGATCTTTGTTTATTTTGTTTTCTCTTTTTTTTGGTGAATAGTATCTATAACCATTATGTGTCTCTTTTCTCTATTAATGAGTGTCCTTTTCCTTCGGTGACCACTACCAGTTGAGACTGTCTTCCTCCAGAGACCACCACACTTTATTCATCGATCTGTCATTGCACGTGCTCACACTAGTTGCCTCTTCTGGTGCATATGTCTCACTTGGTTGACTGAGCTTGTCCTTTGCTGGTCGCGCTTCTCCCAACTAACTGACCTTATCCTCTACTGGCTAAGCTTCTCCCTAGCTGACCAAGCTTCTCCTCTATTGCTAAGCTCCTCACTGATAAGACTGAGCTTCTCATTACCAGCGAGTTTCTCCTTATACTGGCTGAGCTTCTGACTAGAAGATCGAACTTCTCCTTGCTGGTCGAGCGTCTACCCAACTAACCAAGATTCTCCTCTACTTGTCGAGTTTCACCTGCGTGCCTAGACAAGGTAACCATGCAACCAACACACCTTGTCTCCGCCATGCTAGTCTGGTAATATTGTAACCTGTTATTTCTCAGTCCTCCTCCCTTGAACTTTGGGACCTTGGATTCTTGATTTAATGCCTCTAATCACATTCTAGGAACAAGTTCCTTTTTTCTCAAACTGCTTATTTGGATTATTTACCCATGTTACTATGGCAAACAACTCTCAAATAAATGTTCATGGCATTGGTCAAACACGACATTCTTCTAATCTTACCTTAGATTCACGGTTGCTTGGCATTTTCAGGTGTTCTTTTAATATTAATCTTCATAATTAAGCTCACTCATATTGGGCTCCTAGTCGTGTTTATTTTGCTTTGGGTTTTTATTACTTAGTTACTTTAATTGGTCATTTCTCTTGATGTTCTTAGTTATTCTTAATGAAAACATTAACTGATGTTTTTTTTTTCTATTTTTTAAGGTTTTTGAACTAAAATTCAAAATCATTTTGGCATCTCTATTAAATCTTTACACACTAACAATACTCTGGGATACATGTCTTTCCAATTTTAGTATTGGTCTAAGGACACATGGAATCTTCCATCAAACATCTTGCTCTCACACATCCCAATAAAATGGTGTTGTCGAAAGAAAGAATCAACACTTGGTTGAAAATGCTTGTACTCTTCTTATTCACCATAATATTCCTCTTCACTTCTAGGGAGATGTCATTCTAACAATATGTTATTTGATCAACTACATACCTTACTTCGTTCTTAATAATTACTCTCTTTATCCAACACAAGATTTTTTTTTCATGTATAATATTAGTTGATTGATAAATATATTTTCAAATAAAAGAACTAAGATTTTCTTTTTTGTTTTTTGGTCCTTAAAACTGTGATGTTACAACAAAGTCTTACATGGAATAAAACAAGAGAGGACATGAGTTTTTTAATACACATAAAATATCTCAGTTGATTAAAAAACATTTTAAAATAGTTACCGAAAATAAATCCGTAAAATCTTGGAACCCAAAACAGAAAATATATTATACAGAAAAATGTTACTTTGATTGTGATTTCTAAAAGAAAGTATTAGTTTGTTTCTTTTTTAAAGAATGACGGACCAATATAAAATTAGGTTAATCCAACTAAATTAATAAAGATAGTGTCTCTAATTAAATGTTTGTAAGAATATCAAGAATAACATTACTACTAATAACAAGATATTAACATTAATGTTTCTGAATAAATTTGATATCATCTGTTATATTCATAAATTAATGTATTATAATTATCTTCAATGATGTCGTTGTGGATAGGTTATTCTCTAACATTTAAAATAACTTTTTTAGATTTTATAAAAAATTACACTTTGATTTAAATATTTATAAAGTATGTTTTAAAACACAAATTGAACTTCGCTTCAAAATTGAACAGCACTTACTTCAGTGCAGACCATAGTTACTTATTACTCATCGGTCAGCCGTCAAATAATAACATACATCTTCTCACCCTAAAAGCTCACCCACACCAACGCAAAACCGCGTTATGGCTTCACTCTCCGTTTCGCGCCACAACCACCTCTTAGCGGGCTCTTCCGGCCCGGCACAAGCCCACCTCAAGGCCCACCAGGGTCCGAATGTCCCTCCGCGATGACGGCCCCTCCATTGCCGTCGTCGGCGTCACTGGCGCCGTCGGCCAGGAGTTCCTCTCCGTCCTCTCCGACCGCGACTTCCCCTACGCTCCATCAAAATGCTGGCCTCGCAGCGCTCCGCCGGCCCGCCGCATCACCTTTGAGGACAGGGACTACGTCGTGGAGGAGCTCACGGCGGATAGCTTCGACGGCGTCGACATCGCGCTCTTCAGCGCCGGCGGGTCCATCAGCAAGAAGTTCGGCCCCGCTGCGGTGGATCGGGGGACAGTGGTGGTGGACAATAGCTCCGCCTTTCGGATGGACGAGAAGGTGCCGCTGGTTATTCCCGAAGTGAACCCCGAAGCGATGCAGCACATCAAAGCTGGAACGGGAAAAGGCGCGCTCATTGCGAACCCTAATTGCTCCACCATTATTTGCTTGATGGCTGCTACCCCTCTTCATCGACGAGCTAAGGTCAAACTTTGCCTTTTCAATCTACTCTTATATTGTAAATCAGAATATTCTTCAATTTCAATAATGTTTTAAAACGATATTGTTGGTTGTTAAAAGTGATCTTTTGATTAAAAGTGTTTATTTATTATGATTTTTGAACAGGGGTTAGAAATTTAGAAAGAATATTAGTTTATTATAATGCAGATTTATATGTTTTTTGTAATCGTGTGCTTTGTCTTGTGATGCTTTTATGCTTGAATACTATAGGTGTTACGAATGGGTTTGTCTAGGACATCAGCTGCCAGTGGTGCTGGTGCTGCTGCAATGGAAGAGCTCGAGCTGCAAACTCGTGAGGTTTGGATTAAGCTTTGTCTGTGTAGTTTGTTAGCTTGGTTTGAGCTGTCCTACCATTGAGATTGTGTGAAGAAGAAAGTGGTTTTATTTATGGTATTTAATCGTGATTTTCTTTTGGACTTTTTTTACTGAAAGGTGTTGGAGGAAAAACCACCCACGTGTAAAATATTTAGGACAGGTTAGCACAATTATGATAGCCTTTCTTGTGATTGATTCCCAGATTAAGTCCTGATGGAGGTTGTTGTTTGGCCGTATGCTTTTTTTAATTATCTAGCACAAGCATCTGTTCTTTCAAAAGGATATTTCTATACGAAGAAGAAAATAAGAAATGAAAATGGTTAAGGAGACCAGGAAAATATGGGTAAGCTGCAATGAATCTTTTTAAATTGTTTATTAGGTTCTTTTATTTTTATTTCGCATTATGTAATACTTCCTTATAATTTTCTTGCTCTTTTACAGAATGACAAGGACGTTAAAGTAACTGCCACATGCATACGAGTTCCTGTTATGCGGGCTCATGCTGAGAGTGTGAATCTTCAATTTGAAAATCCACTTGACGAGGTACTTCATGCTGTCATGCTGTGTTGTTATGCCTTTGCCAAACTTTTAGTTGATTTCTTTAGGGGTACCATATCCGAGTAGATAATTGTATACCAGATCCATTAAATATATTGGATTAAAGCTCCATAATCCCTCTTCCCCCACCGCGCCACCTAAAAAAATTAAGGGAAGGAATTGCATCTTTGTTGTTTAATCTGCTGGATTTGAATTGATACGGCATTACACGCACATTAAGCAATCCACTAAGATCAGCATAGTGGTTGGAAGTTCTAATAGTTTGCATGGGCTGTTGAATCAAACCTCATTGTTGCCAGTTTGCACATAAAAGTTCTTGCATATTATTGTTTCATATAATAAATTTTTTAACTAAAATGTTTCATATACTTTATTGAAGTTTTGCGGACCAATGACTAGCAATTTTCTTCTACCCTGTTTTAGTGAATTTAGTTGCCTGTACAATTCACCTAGGAAGCTAAGATCAGACTTGAGAACCAGCCCACAGTTGACATACGCCTTAAGTTAATTTTTCAGAATATCAAACTGATTAGTATTTTGAAATCTGAAGTGTATAGCACATACTGGGAGTCTTAGAATGTTTATCTGCTGGATATTTTTTTCTTAATTTTACTTGTGTTTTACAAGGAGAATGTATAATTTACTTAATATATAATTTTAAAAAATGACCCATTTATAGAAAGAGTCTTATTTTATCTTACACCATACCATTATCATAAAATTTAGTATGAATTTAGTTATGTTGGTGTAGTGGTTAATAAGAATTTAAAGATGCTAATTTGAAAAAAATGACATAGTTTGACTATTTGTGAAAATGAATAATAATAATAATGACGATGATTTACAATTATTAGAAAAGAATATTATTTTAACTATTTTTGAAATATGCATATTTGGTTATGGATTTTACTACAATCTATTTTATTTTATTTTTAATGAAAAGCTATTTACAAAGAAAACAACAACTATTCTGTTAAATGTTTTTACAATTATAATAGTATAAATTTAATAAAAATATTTACTTTTATAACTGTTTTTTATATTAATTTTTTCTACAACTTTTACATAATTTGTAATAATATTTTTTATTTTACTAATTACATAATATGCCATTTTTAATAGTATTTTTATCTTAATAATTATTATATTATGTAATTTTTTATAATAATTTTTAGTACCATCGGGACATATGTCCCTAAGTTTCCGCGCTGTTAGAAATTTAGAGTCCATAATTTTATTATGTAGATTGTTTAGTCTTAATTGACTCAATAACTTAGTTATTGCCGTGTTGACTACCTGGCTGACCAGAACAAACAACTCCCACAATACTTTCAGAAAGGAGAGTTGCAGAGGAAGGAGAGTTCTTCATAGATCTTCATCATTCCCACTAGATCTTCGTCATCTTTCTAATTCATTCCAATGTCAGGAAGTTCTTCGTCATTCCCAGTGTCTACTTTTCCCACTAAGTATGATGTGTTTCTGAGCTTCAGAGGGGAAGACACGCGTTACAACTTTATCAGTCACCTTTATGACGCGCTGCACAGGAACCGCATCGAAGCATATAGAGATGACAGACTACAAGGGGGCCAAGAAATTTCGCCTGCACTCCAAACTGCGATAGAAGAATCAAAGATCTATGTCCTCGTTCTCTCCGAAAACTATGCATCTTCGACGTGGTGCTTGAATGAACTGACTAAGATACTGAACTGCAAGAAGATATATGGAAGAGACGTGATACCGGTTTTCTACAAAGTGGATCCATCAACTGTCAGGAAGCAGCAAGAAAGATACAAAGCAGCATTCGAAGAGCATGAAAAGCGGTTTAAAGACGACATGGACAAAGTGCAAGGATGGAAGGATGCTCTAACCGAAGCTTCTGGACTCTCCGGTTGGGATTCAAACGTTATCTGGTCATTATATTTCTTACATCCACTTTTCATATATTCAGAATCTCTTTTCATTTACTAAAATCTGTTGATTTCTCAGGTGTTTCTTTTTTTTCCTTTCTCTTAATCGGTCATGGATTTGATCATATCACTTTGTTATAGTTTAACTCTGTACAGCTCTGTTCTTCAGTATCAAAAGTCACAAACAGTTACTGTAGAACTTTTGCGATCTTGATTTGAAATTTTTTAATCAACCAAGCTAATATATGATGATAATGTCGTATGCTTACGTTGAACATCTCTTCAATGATGTTCACTTTCTTCTGAATTTTTCTTTAGTTTAGTTTAGCTTTGTGCTTGAATACTAAAACTTTATTTTCCAAATTATCTGTCAGGTCAGAAAACACGCTCGTTGAAGAAATTGTGAAAGATATTTTGAAAAAATTGGATCTTTATTCCAATAGTTATGATCCTGGAATTATCGGCATTGAAAAACATATTGAAAGAATTCGGTTCATGATGCATTTTGAGTCAACAGATATTCGGATCATAGGAATTTGTGGCATGGGAGGAATAGGAAAAACTACAATTTCTGAACAAATATATCACACATTTGCAATGCAATTTGTATCCAGAAGCCTTGTTTTAGACACTCAGAAAAAAATAGAAAGAGATGGAATAGACACTGTCAGAGAAAAATATATGTCTGAGCTTCTAAATCCTAGTTTATTATACTACAATGAAAGACTCAAACGAATGAGGATTCTCATCATTCTTGATGATGTCACCGATTCAGTTCAAGTTAAACAATTGTTAGGAAGGCGTGATAGTTTTGGACAAGGCAGTAGAATCATTATAACCAGTAGAGACAAACAAGTGTTAAAGAATGCTGGAGCTGATGACATCTACGAAGTTAAGGAGTTGAATGAACTTGATTCTCTAAAACTTTTTAGTTTACATGCTTTTAAACAAAACTCTTCGCAAGAAACAAAGTACATGGACTTGGTAGAAGAGGTGTTGTGATATGCAAAAGGAATTCCATTAGCTCTCCAAATTTTGGGCTCATTACTTTATGGCAGAACAAGAGAAGCATGGAAAAGTCAGTTACAAAAGTTAAAAAAATGCCAAGATCTTAAAATTTTTAGTGTATTAAAATTAAGTTATGATGGGCTTGATGACGAGGAGAAGAATATTTTTCTTGACATCGTTTGCTTTTATAGGGGACACGAGGAGATTGTGGTAGTAGAAAGATTAGACGACTGTGGTTTTTCTTCTAAGATTGGAATGGAGATTCTGAAAGACAAATGTCTAATATCTATCTTTAATGGTAGAATTGTAATGCACGATCTAATACAAGAAATGGGTCAAGAAATTGTTCGTCAAGAGTGTCCTCATTATCCTGGAAAACGAAGTCGATTGTTCAAGGATGAGGAAATTCATGAGGTTTTAAAAAAGAAAAAGGTATGTTCTATTATCACTCAATTGAAAGAGTCACATGGATTTACTTTTCTTAAATTGCAAACCACTAAGTTGTTATTAAACATTGTGGAATATTTCATGTTTATTTATTTTTCAATTACATTGATTTACTTTCAGGGGTCAGATGCAATTCAGTGTATCTTACTAGATTTGAAGAATATAAAAGAAGTTATAGTACATGGACAAGCTTTCCAAAAGATGGATAATCTTAGGATGCTTATGCTCGATAATTTTGGTTATGGGCGTGTATTCGAATCCAAAGTGTCTCTTGCATCATCTCTTGTAATTTTACCAGACACTTTAAAGATTCTTTATTGGAACGGTTTCCCTCAAAGATCTTTATCACCGAACTTTTGCCCACAAAATCTAGTGAGACTCGAAATGCCAAACTGCCGTCTTAAACAACTTTGGGAAGAAGATCAGGTTCTTAAAGTTATCTATATTCCTTTATGTTCTAAACTTACTAGTATTTTTCTGTACTATATATCTACATGTTTTGATACTTCTTTTATTAGACCCACTCAATTATGCATATATCATTACAATCATATTTATCATGCTTCTAAAGATAATTATAAATCAAATATGTAGAACATGCATTTGTTTGATGCATTTTATTTTATGGTCCATGATTGTATTGTCTACCCATATTATGTGTGAAGTATGTGGATAAAGTGCTTGTTTTTTTTACTTTATAAGAGATACTTGTGTATGGGTATTCTATTCATTTATAAAAGATAAATGTTATTTTTTTCTTTTGTATTATTCGGAACGAATCATTCTTGCTTATAACTACCATATACATTACTAAAAAGAATTAACTTTAAATTCTCAACATTATTTATATATAAATGTTTCACCTATCATAAGTATATATTTTGGAAAATTCATTCCCAATTTCTTATGTCAAAATAGTTCTTTCCATCTACTTTATGATAACTTCATATAGCCAAACCTTCTTCAACCTCTCACCACTTCATACTTTAATTTTTGTGATTATATCACCAATGATGCATAAAATATCTTTTTTCTATAATAAGTTTTTGTATTTAAAATTTCTCAGTCATAATACAACCTTAGATATCTCTCACCACATGCTCATAAAATGGTCAAAACACA